TTGATGGTGTTGTAAGGATATAATACACCTATTTCAATTAACGTTGTCGGATAAAAATCGGATAAAAGCGTAAAGCCTACAAGACAAGACCAAATGGTAGTCTGGGTATTCATTAGAATTTGCATATCGCTGGAAAAGAAATCTTCACGTTTTTATTTTGCACGTGATGTATTTGGTTTGCCCCGAATTATATAATTTGTTTTTCCATGTTTTTCACTAGCTGATTCTGCTAAAATTTAGTTTGGCTAAAAGTAGCTTACTTCTACAGGTTTAAAACAAAAAGGAAACGTTATAAATAATGTTTTACATGTTACTTCTCATTAGTATTCGGTGCGTGCAGCAGTTTTCTATTTTTACCCATACTACCTTTCGGTCTTAACTTGTGGGCTTTTAAAAACATTTCTATCCGACAACGTTAATAATTATTGAAATAGGTGTATACATGTATAGTCAACAATCACCTTCCTTATAACTGAGTGCAGCTACATGTAGGTTTAGGAAGCTAGGGCAAGGACAGGTTTTGGGGATTTCCTATTTCTCTTGTCCTGATCCCTGGGAGAATATTGTCCCTAGGTCGTGACAGTATCGATTGAGCACAGCAAGGTCTGTACAAAAAATACCGAGGTAGTATGGTCCTAAGGAAGCTTGGTTTTAAAAATAAGAGATTTATTACATGACCTTTTGCCTGAAATATAAGCTGTGGAAATTAAACCATAAGAATTTCAGAAACTTTATCCGGTCCAATCCTTACTCTCGGTCCAAAGTATTGAACCGGCAATAAAGCATTGTGATTGACTGATTTTAGTTATTAGCCTTGGCCTCTCAACTGTCTTGGTCATGTAAAGAGTTTTATGGTGCCTTTCAATATACAAACTTTGAAGTTAAAAACTCAACATGCAAAAATGTAAATATTATATAGATGTTATTGAAATAGCGTGAGGTCCATATTGGGAAAATATTGGTTGAGTTCTTTTTTTGCAAGTTTATGGACTGAGCCGAAGGCGAGGTCCATAAACTTGCAAAAAAAGAACAAGACCAATATTTCCCAATACGGACTGAACAAGCTAGTTCAATAAAGTTTTTATTATTTTTTAATACTTTGCTGATAAATTAATGCAATTATTCTTGGCTAACGCGCGTGCGCCAAAGTTAAGCATATTCTTGCATTTATCAGGCCAGTTTGCAAAAAGTTTAACCAAAATTGTCGGCCGGACATAAGAAAAAATGTTTCTACTTAAGGTGGCTGGTAACGGTTTACAGCCCTTGTGCTTTGATTTTCGAAAATTTAAGGTGGCTCTGAATTCCCTCCGCAGAATTTTTTAAACTTTGCAAAAAGTTGTATCTTAACATGCTGATCATTATTCAATTATAAAAAATGGGGTCACCGGGCTCGTTTTTGAGTTATAAGCACTTAAAGCTAAAAATAAGGGTGTTTTTGACAGGTAATACTATTGCTATGGTAACCTATTATGTCACAAATATTATCATAACTTGTTCACCGATGATTAGGCAATCGTTTGACACTTTTATTTTAACATCAACTGATATAAGATGGTAGTATCGATCAATCAAAGCGCAAGGGCTGTAAACCGTTACCAGTCAATGTTTCATAAAGGAATTCGGCGAAATGAGTTCCTGAGCGGTCCATCTTAGCGGTCAGTATTGCAAAATTTGGACCGCTCAGGGAACCAATCAGAATGCTCCTTTTCATCGTGGACCAGTTTGCCATATAATAATGAGTTTTACGCTGCCGATAACATATACTTAGTGGACGCTTCCTTGAGTTGTGCTTGGTGGATTTGATCCATTTTGTTCATTTATTTTTGAAAGGTCTGTTGGTTGTTGGGTTGTAATAATGATTGACGGCAGTGTAAAACACATCATCGGAATGGTTACAGGGTTTTGAACTACATAGTTTGTGTTTTATTGACAGGCACAGTAATCTTCACTGTTCATTTCCATTAAACAAAATCCCAAACCAATGAGATTAGCAATGAAATGGATTTTACCAGATATTTTTTTACAAAGGATATTATTATATAATTATTGTTAATTACAGTCGAACCTCCACTAATGGACACCTCTCTTAAGCAGACACTTTTTCTGGTCCTGAGGGTGTCCGCTTATGGGAGGTTCGACTTTATTACAGTTTTCAAATAATACTAATAATAATAATAATTTTTTTCCAAAACTTTTTTACAAACCTAGCATTTAGAAATTTGTCAAATTTGCACTGCACCTGGAGCATAATTTTAGAAAATAATATGAGTTGAACTTGCTGTATGATATTAGCTTTTTTACATTATGAAAGCTTTTAAACCAAAGTCAAGTTATAACCTTACTGTTCCTTTGCATAACATGCAAACTCATCTCAATCAATAGTTTTGCTGCCATCAATATATTATCATGTTAGCGGATGTCTCAGGAAACAGAAGTTCTGGGTTGATTGGTAGATTTCAATCCATTTGGTTTGTGTCTTTTTTTCAGGGTCTGTTGCTTGTCGTAATGTAATAGACCTTTCTTCAAAATGGCCGCCGCAAATTCATATTAAACTGAGCGGAAAATCAATACCAGCACCTGAAAGACCACCTCTTGTTTGGTAATGAATTTGTGGCGGCCATTTTGGAGAAAGGTCTATTATGATTTTGATGGCAGTGCAAAATGCAATCATAAATAGTTGGGTTTTGAAACTCAGAGTTAGTGTGTTATTGGAAGGTGCAGTAAGTCCATCCCCATAAAATGTTTTGTTTCCCATCGCCTCCTCTCTCTCGTGAAAGTGGGTCGGTCGGTCGGTTAAAAAAAAAAAGCAGAGAAACGAAATATTGACAAATGAATACATAAATAATTCCAAGTGAGTCTTGATTTTATCTTCCCGTGACTACCAGTTTGTTACGAGCCGATATCACTCGAAGAAGTCATTACTGGGCTGATTTAGATGTCAGAGTGACTTTAAAGATGTAAATAAAGCAAATTAAACTTGGAAACACGCGAGAAATGTGCGCAGGCAATGAATCAGAAACTTTTTTACTTTTGAAAAAATGGGGTTGGTCGGACGATGGGAAAGAACACATTTTATGGGGATGGCCTGATGCCAAAAAAATAACTATTCTCAAAATGCCAGTTTTTGTGTTTCTAAATCCGAATCCATAGGTTTTGGTTTTATCTATGTTGTGTATGTCGAACAGTAATATTGTTGGGTCATGTTAAAAGATGCTGAAAGCAATTTGTGTTTAAAATGGTTTCACTTTCACAAGCATTGCTATAATTGCTTGAATATTGATGACTAATCCCCCCTGTTTTCCCTCCGTCACTTTAACATATATTTTTGGAGTCTCCTACTGGGTGGATAGGATGCTAGTACTGATCGGTAATGTGAAGTAATGTTTGTATAATGTTTCAGCTGATGTTTTTGCTGTCAACAATTTCAGAGAAATAAATATTTTTGTGGAAAGAAAACTAGTACATGTTAAGCTTGGTCTTTTTACTTAATATCACTGAACCATTTTCTTCCCACAAGATACTAAGAAGAAAAAGTTGTTCTCCCAACTGGCAGTTTACCGGAATATAATTTATAAGCCATGCAAACATCGTGTCAAAGGTTTAGAAAGGTGTTCCTGGAGTAAACTGTTAGTACAGTTCTAAAATCTTTATTAATACTCTAAATAGATCGGTGCTAAGGGTATTGTTATAGAAAATGTTTTGACGGGCTGTGCATGGAGTTTCTTGAATATGATGCGGTATTAAAGAGGTCAGAAGACTTCGGTTATCTTCAGCTAAGTTTCAGCATCTTCGGAATATCTCGGGCAATATGAATGATTGTCGATGATACAATTCGTGACGTAATATTCTATCAGATGTTAGTAAAAATCTATTAGTATACTAATGCAAATGAGACAATCTGATTGGCTAAGTAGCCACAAGAGAGGATGATCATAGTCTCTTGGTAGCCAGCGCTGAGTGGAGAACAGCACGAGTTTTTAGAAAGCGTGTCTTCTTCCACTCGCGCGAGCCCCTCCAACTCGCGCTTCATTCTACTCCAACGCCTGCTATTGACTAAGTTACTCGTATACTATCAACATTAGCATAACCCTGACTATTGGTAAACTTGCAATCAGATTGGCTACACAGGCACCTACTATCGATCGATAGACGGCTCTCGGAGCGCGCGCACATTTTTTCGTGCCAAAAAGTATTAAACAAAACCATCAATAAATCATTTTTATCGATATTCTATGTTTTTAAATTGATCAGCCACTGGGTTATGCTAAAACAATTAGACGGCTCGCTCTCGGTTTCTATCGACTTTGATAGTACATGCATGTTGGCTCGGGGCTTCGCCCTCGCCAACTATCAGCCGATAGTAACGAGCTTGCCGTCTAATTGTTTTAAATAACTGTACAGTGACTTGAGGTTGTCTACAAAATTGCAGTTTCTTCTCGTTTCTCTGAAGTTTCGTTGGAGAACTAGAGTTATTACTAGACAATTGTTATGATTTTTACTAAAACAATTAGATAGTCCGCTCTCAACTTGAAGTGATATCATATTGATGTTATGGATGTTGTATTTACCATAAAAAGAAACTTCAAATCTGCTCAGTGGGAAGGCCCACGTTCCTACAATGATACGAATCGACAATATGGAAATAATAAATGACTATTCTCTGGCAGAAAATGGCAGTACGCTGGCACAAATAACCAATGATGAAGAGATGTGCCACTGGGCACGATTTTGGCTCGATTACCAGCTGCTGTTCGGGAAAATGGGCCCACGCTACTCGTCTCCGTCTCTTCTCGGGGAGGAACGAAGACCGGACTCGAGAGTGCGGCGGAAATTGAGCCTAGGCATGCGGGGAGTGATTGACAAAAGTCAAAGCGACAGAGTGTCAATCACTTTGCCCAGCTGACAAGGATGATGTTATGTTGAAAGAAATAATGGTACATTTTATGCTTGGTAGATTGTATTCAGTCAGTGACACAAGCCACTCGGAAAAAAATTATAAGTTCCCTCGACAGGAGTCGAACCTATGACCTTCTGCACACCGATCGGACACTTCACCACTGAGCTACCAGAGACTCGTGGGAGGGTGGTGTTACTTGCCAAATCCGGAAGTGACGTTATGTGTCAGGTTCTTTCTATTTGGTGTTGTTTAAGGCAAATATAAAGTTCCAGAATTACCAGAGATAGTGCAATTCTCGTTGTCAAATAAATAATAGGGCAACTGTTGTTCGAAAGATGTCAGGTTCCAACCATCATGATATGACTGTTACTTAGCAACCTAACGACTACACTACGAGTAGTTCCTCATTTTTCTCAGGGATCGAGTGGGCGAGCGCGCGTGGAAATCACCTCCCGCGAGAAGGCGGACGGGACGGGACGCGTTGCGTCTTCTTGCGCGCGGGAGGTTATTTCCACGTGCTTCGCCCACTCGATTCCTGAGAACAATTAGGGACTACTCGTAGTTTACTTAACGACAAAACCAAATAACCAATAATGACGAAGGTGTGGATTCCCTGGGCCTACTCTCCCTCTAGCAGGCGCTGGAGTGATATACGGCAAACGTGGGAGGGGCGCACGTGTACTTCCTCGCACGCACATCGTTTTTGCACCTAAATTGTACGCTGCTTAATTAGAGAAAAATTTGAATGGGTTATTCATCACCCTCCACCTTAAGGCCCCGTCCACACTGGTGCGTTTTCGTTTGGCTCCGTTTTCGAAACGCTCCGTTTTCAAATGTCTCCACTCTGAACAGTGTTTTCAGAATTATGTACGCGTTTTCGATGAAAACGCTCAGCGTTGTAGTGTGGACGATAGGCGAAAACGCATCGAAAAGTATGCGTTTTCTATTTATCGACAGCTGTTGTGGTTCAATTTTTCTTTGGTTTAAAATTTTTCAAACCAGTTTGATTTTTAGTTTCCTTTCTCTAATATTCATTATCATAATCTGAAACAGGAAAATAAAAATCAAACTCGTTTGAAAAATTTCAAACCAAAAATACTCCAATAGACGCTGCCAATTTGGAAATAATTGTATTCAAAAAAATAACGAAGGTCCATAAAAACTGTAATTAGAAATACAAGAAATGTTTTAGAATGCAATTATTTCCAAATTGGACAAGCTTTGAATCCTATTTCATTTTAATTGTCGTGCTTGAAACGAGCTGTGTATTCAACATTCTACTTTTGTTTTGCATTAAACATTATATTTGTCGACAAAAGCTGAATTCATGTATATTATTTTACAGTAGGCAGAATACCGGCTTCTGAGTATTAGCAAAGCAGCGTATTTAGCAAATCAGCGCACGCTTCCAGCCAACCTGAGTTAAATAATTGCCAAAGGAAGCTCACTGATCGAATCATAAAACTATTATTGAACTCGGCGTTATCGGATTTTTTTTCGGGTGATTTGTCGGCGTGTTGCAGATCAGCTATTTGCCTCTGCCTTCCGCATCGGCAAAGAAGTGATCTGCTTGCCACTGACAAATCAAATTAATTTTGCGATAACCGAGTGCAATCATTGTTAATTAGAGTCTTGACCAATCAAAGGCAAGAAATATTACTAATGATAGCAACACTACTGATTGAGCGATACAACACATTTTTATTTTAAACGTATTTTTATCATTTACAGTATATACATTAAGAAAATTAATTTGACTTGAAATCAAATCTGAATCTCAGGTATTTTTCATCTCAATGTCGACACTTAAGTAATATTTACAATTTCTGTGGTTTGTAAAACGACTTATCAAATCGTTCAACTTTTTGTTGAAAATCATCTTTCAATAAATAGGTACGTGAAGTGTTTAATATAAAACTGTTGGGAAAATTGAAACGAGATTACGTAAGATAAACCATGTTTAACAAGAAGCGTCAACGCTGTCAATTGATAAGACAGGTTTCCTCTTCGAACTTTGGGTAGCAATTTTCACGTCACTTCTGGACCGTGTCTTAGGAGATGAAGATTTATTTCTGTCTTGAAGACTTTGACCATCAGTCTCCACGTCACTTCTGGACCGTGTCTGACGAGATTCTGATTTCTTTCTCTCCTGAAGACATTGACCATCAACCTCCACGTCACTTCTGGACCGTGTCTTATGAGATGAAGATTTATTTCTGTCTTGAAGACTTTGACCATCAGTCTCCACGTCACGTCTGGACCGTGTCTGACGAGATTCTGATTTATTTTTCTCCTGAAGACGTTGACCATCAGTCTCCACGTCACTTCTGGACCGTGTCTGACGAGATTCTGATTTATTTTTCTCCTGAAGACGTTGACCATCAGTCTCCACGTCACTTCTGGACCGTGTCTGACGAGATTCTGATTTATTTTTCTCCTGAAGACGTTGACCATCAGTCTCCACGTCACTTCTGGACCGTGTCTGACGAGATTCTGATTTATTTTTCTCCTGAAGACGTTGACCATCAGTCTCCACGTCACTTCTGGACCGTGTCTGACGAGATTCTGATTTATTTTTCTCCTGAAGACGTTGACCATCAGTCTCCACGTCACTTCTGGACCGTGTCTGACGAGATTCTGATTTATTTTTCTCCTGAAGACGTTGACCATCAGTCTCCACGTCACGTCTGGACCGTGTCTGACGAGATTCTGATTTCTTTCTCTCCTGACGACTTTGACCATCAATCTCCACGTCACTTCTGGGCCGTGCCTTAGCAGATTTATTTTTCTCCTGAAGACTTTGACCATCAATCTCCACGTCACTTCCGGACCGTGCCTTAGCAGATTTCTTTCTCTCCTGAGGACTTTGACCATCAGTCTCCACGTCACTTCTGGACCGTGTCTGACGAGATTCTGATTTATTTTTCTCCTGAAGACGTTGACCATCAGTCTCCACGTCACGTCTGGACCGTGTCTGACGAGATTCTGATTTCTTTCTCTCCTGACGACTTTGACCATCAATCTCCACGTCACTTCTGGACCGTGCCTTAGCAGATTTCTTTTTCTCCTGAAGACTTTGACCATCAATCTCCACGTCACTTCCGGACCGTGCCTTAGCAGATTTCTTTTTCTCCTGAGGACTTTGACCATCAGTCTCCACGTCACTTCTGGACCGTGCCTTAGCAGATTTCCTTTTCTCCTGAGGACTTTGACCATCAGTCTCCACGTCACTTCTGGACCGTGCCTTAGCAGATTTCTTTTTCTCCTGAAGACTTTGACCATCAGTCTCCACGTCACTCCTGGACCGTGCCTTAGCAGATTTCTTTTTCTCCTGAAGACTTTGACCATCAGTCTCCACGTCACTTCTGGACCGTGTCTGACGAGATTCTGATTTATTTTTCTCCTGAAGACGTTGACCATCAGTCTCCACGTCACGTCTGGACCGTGTCTGACGAGATTCTGATTTCTTTCTCTCCTGACGACTTTGACCATCAATCTCCACGTCACTTCCGGACCGTGCCTTAGCAGATTTCTTTTTCTCCTGAAGACTTTGACCATCAATCTCCACGTCACTTCTGGGCCGTGTCTTAGAAGATTTCTTTCTCTCCTGAAGACTTTGACCATCAATCTCCACGTCACTTCCGGACCGTGCCTTAGCAGATTTCTTTTTCTCCTGAGGACTTTGACCATCAATCTCCACGTCACGTCTGGACTGTGCCTTATAAGATGTGGATTTCCTTGTATCCACGGGACTTTGGCTGGAGATTTCCACGTCACTCCTCGACCGTGCCTTAAGAGATAAAGATTTTCTTCCATCCTGGGGCTTTTTATAGGAATCTCCGCCTCACGTCTGGACCGTGCCTTGCCAGAAGCAGGTTTCTTTCCATCCTCGACGCCTTGGTTGGCAATCTCCACCTCACTGCTGGACCGTGCCTTTGCATAAGCTGATTTGCTACTGTTCTGGGGGATTTGGCTGTCCTTAGAAATTTTCTGTTTTTTTGACTTGGTTGATGAGCTGCTTTTCGTCTTTTTTATATGCCCACGTACTTTGGATTCTTCCACGTTCTCTGAATGAGCGCTGGTACGTGAATGCTTTGGCGTCAAGTCCGATTTCTTTCGTGCACTTTCTAAACGAGATGAAGACTTCAACCTTGTTAAGCTTCCCTTGGAGTCTTCTTTTAAGGACACAGCTGAGTTGGACGTTTTCCCACTTGGTATGGTTTGAAGCTTTGATTCATTCAAGGACTTTATCTTTTCTTTAGAAGAAGAGCGGATGTTTGATTGCGACAGCTTATCTGTGGTCTTTTTTTGCGCCCGTGATGCACTCGACTTTAAATTGCCCGATGACTGCTCACTGGAAAGCTCGCCGCTTGACTGTTTTTTCTTCTTCCGTCTTTCCACCGTACTGTGGGACGTCATCAAGTTCGAAGAACTTTCTTTCTGTACCTTAACAGGAACAGATGAAACTGACGTTTCACGTTGGACGTGACGTAAACTTTTCGTTTTCTTTAAGGCCTCGGTGCTCTGCTTCTGTGGCACGTTCGAAGGGCTCCGGTTTACAGTCGGTGATTTACCCTTGATAGAGGATGTTTTCGCCTTTGCTTCGGGTGTTGAAGGAGATGTGATAATTTTGCACTTGCTACCAACTATTTCCAAGTCAGCAGTGGAGCTCTGTGATGAACTGTCTGAGCCACTCTGTGGATCACCGTTACCCTTTGCGGCCTCTGTTGGCTTCTGGACTTGTGACATGCCATCCTCAGAGTCTGAAACGAATGAACTCATTTAGTAGATATCTACTGGTAACATTGCTGTAAAATTGAGTCACGTGTTGGCCTTTTTTTAACAACAACACTACCTAGAGATATACTGTAAATCTTCTTCTACGAGTAACGCAGTGAAATGTCGCTTGAGAATCTAGCTCGAGAATAACCGCTGAGTACACGTGACATTTACTTTTTTAGGGTCTTATGTCAAATGAGATTGTTGAAGCATTATAGTTATACGTTATCCGAGATGCCCACTAACTCTAATATTTCCATCCTGAATTTATTTAAATTACAACGAAAGAAGGGTAAAGAAAACGGCACATTCTGGTATTTAAAGGAGTAGTTAGTATTTGCTTACTTGTTGCTGTAGCAGGAGACCGTACTCTTGCAGATCGCCTGACAAGAGGCT